AACAATGATGTGTGCTATTGCTAAACATCTCTCTCCTGGAAAAGGACTCCGCTCAGGAGTCAGGACTGTCATGGGCCTCTCAACGCTAGAAACCCACAGGCACAGCTCAGAGAGAGAGAGAGAGTCAGCTCGGCATCACAAACTCCGCGCTGCGGCAAGAGCTTTTGGCCGACCTCCTTTGGCTCGTCGAGGGCTCGCGGTCGGCAGCAGTAGGGCGCCGGCACGCTTGAACACCGGCAGCTCGTCTCGCGGGTTGAGGTGGCTTCGGCGCATTTCCGGCGACACCGCCCACGTAAAGGTGTCCGGCCCGAACTCCTTCTCGAGCGATGCGATGACACTCTTGAAGCCGTTGGAGTGAAGTACGCACGGCACCTTGCCAGTGTGCCGAAAGGCGATGCGGCCGTCGCTGCTGCGCGCGAGGTCGGAGGGCGCGAGCATGTGAAGGTTGAGGATGAGCGACGAGTTGATATCCACCACATGCTGAGGCGCGTGCCGCCGCGAGGCCAGCGCGACTTGCATGCACGCCTGGTCCTCGACCACGCACGAGACGGGCTTTGGGAAGTGGCGGTAGGGGCGGCACGACGCGCAGGAATCGAGCTGGTAACCCGCCGTATCGCCCTCCAACGCGCAGCACGGGAAGCGCGGATTCTGCTCGATGGCGCCGGCCAGCGCCTCCATGCCAGCCGACGTGCCGACGATCAGGCCACTGTTCGGATAGTATTGGCGGCTGTGGCGCAGAGTGTACCTCCGCTTCCACGACAAGTGCGCTGGCGGCCCAAACGGGTCGATCGCCCGCCTGGGTATTGGATACCATTTCCTCTCGCCGCCAATGACGACCGAAATTCCTCGGCCGTGCATTGAAAGAGGACGTCGCTGTCCGCGAGCACGCCCAGCCATTTCCGGCGCCTGTGTTGCCTGGACACCTCGAGCAGTTCTCGATATTTGAAGACGGAATCCACGTTTGACGGGTGTCGCCAGCAGCAGTCCCACTCATTCCGCAGCGACGTAAGATTTTGGAGATCGCCTGCCCAGAATGCGTGCGCCCGATACGACAGAGGCGGCGGCGGCAGCCACCGCCGGTTGCTGTGCACGTAGACGTCGACAGCAGAGCCATCCATGTTAGTAGTAAGGCAATGGCGAGCGATACAGCCGAGGAGACCGAGCGAGCCCGCCGAGCATGCGTGGCGGTCGAGATTTCTTCTTCTCTTAGTTTAACAAAAAGGCCCCAAAGGACGTGTGAGTGTTAGAGTTGTTTGGTATTGCTAAAAATCTCTCTCTCGAGCCGGATGATCGGCATCGGGCTACGGGCTAGAGAGCCCTGACCCCTAGCAGTTCCTCAAAACTCAAAAGCCGATAGTGTGTGTGTGTGTGTGCTGCTCGCGGCGATGGCGAAAAACTCGTCTCGCCACACGCCAAGGGCTTATGCTCTGGCGAGACGTGAGGCGCATGCGCCCAGGAGGGGAGGGGGCATGTGTAACGACACTGCTAGAGATGCCTTTCGGGGCCCAGAGATAAAACTTCTGAAGCCATGCGTGACCTAGTAGTGTCCCCAGCTATGGGCGTGTCCACGTTGGAGCCAGGTGTGGTGTGGACGCGATAATAGCTCCGCCGTTCATGGAGGCAACCGATGCGAGTCGACTGGTGTGTGTCGTCGTGGTTTCGTATCAAGAATACTCACACTCACACACAAAAGCCGATAATCGCGGCCGATAGAAGCAAAACAAACTCTCTCTCTAGAAGCTCACACACGACACACAGCGAACACCGAACACCGGCAAGGGTGTGGAGGAACCGGGGTGCGAGGTGGGGACGTGGGGTGCTAGTAGCCGACGAAGGTCGTAGGGATCCGATCCCTACCGGGGTAGTAAACTTGCTCGCCCCCCCCCCCGGCAGTTCGGCGGTTAGTGGTGCACTAACCCGAGAAACCCATCGGCGCGCTCGCCTCCGGGCCTATCCCAGGCTGATCTCCAGGATGGTCGACATCGCTTCGCCGCTTCGCCTCCCGTGCGGCGTCGTGCTGCCCAATCGCCTCGCCAAGGCCGCGATGACGGAGGCGCTCGCCGACGACCTCGGCCGCGCGACGCCCGAGCTAGCCTCGCTCTACGCGCAGTGGAGCGACGGCGGCTCGGGGCTGCTCGTCACGGGCAACGTCCAAGTCGACCGGCGGTACGTCGAGCGGCCGGGCAACGTGTGCATCGACGGCGCGCAGGACGACGCCGCGCGCGCTCGCCTCGCCGCGTGGGCGCGCGCGGCGAAGGGCACGGGCGCCGCCGCGGTGATTGCGCAGATCTCGCACGCCGGCCGGCAGTCCAACGGCATGGTCAACATGGCGC